AGAAAGAAAGAAAGAAAGATAGAAAGAAAGAAGGAAACAAACAAACAAAGACAGAAAGAAAGATGGAAAGAAAGAAGAAAGATATCGTCAGTTGAGGGGAATTAAAGATATCTTGAACTGGAATTACAACTAGTCATAGATATCTGTAAGGAGAAACCCATAAACATGAATGGCAAAACTACTTTTAATCTTATTAGTCATATAATTACAGATATCTTTAATTATGATGTTGTAGATTTCAGTAACAGCTCCTGATTGTTAAAATGCCTTGCTATGGAGGGTCTGTTGGGATGTGTGTGTGTGTCTTTTACCTGCACTGGTGTTTCCTCCACAGGTCGATGCAGCGCAGCGGGCTGTGGCAGGGTTGGCCGCTGCAGGCATCGCTGGAGCACCCCGAGGTGACGCTCCGGCTCTCCAGCACCGTCACCAAGTCCCGGCTCTGCCCGTCCAGAGGCAGGACCTGACCGTTAAAACGAACGTCCCGCAGGCAGCCTGGAGGAGGAAACATCTAGTTTAGTTTGGAGTTCAAACACTAGAACCAATCAGAAGCATCAGAACAGCATCAAACTTTACTAAACAGCTGTGGCTGAGGAAAACATTGTGCACATGAAAAACATGCAAAGCAACAAAATGAATATCATTCAACATATAGCCGAGCTTTTTACAGAAAATACTCAGATGTAACCCCCAATGTGATCATGAACATTTTCAAGTAACTGTAATTGAATTACATATTTCATCCCAGTAACTGTAACGGATTACAGTCACATTTATTTTGAAATTTAAGTTACGTAACTAAATTATATGTAACTAGTTACTCCCCAACATTGGTAAATACAATGAGTAATTTAGCCTGTTACAACCAACTACAACCAGCTCTTATTGTGGCGGTCACATGGATAAGAAAAATAATATGTAAATTCACCCTGAAAGTCGTCCTTGTCTCCGGCGTTCTGGCTGTTCCCGACCATCACGCTGGCCGGGTGAACCACGATCTCCCTGCTGCTCCCCAGCTGGGCCTGGACCTCCCGCGAGCCCCCGCCCTGCTCCAACCGCAGGGTGAACAGGTTATCATGGCGACTGAGACTGACCAGAACCCACTGCCCGATGTCCACACGCTGGCCGGGGAGCTGCAGGGCATGGGCACCATCACCAAGGTTGGCACGAACAGAGAGGTGACCCTCCATGATCTGAAGCAGAGAAGAAGACATCAGGATCTTACAACATTAATGTGTGACGTCAAAGGTCAGTTAATGATGGCTGACAGGTGGACTGACCTCCAGGACGATGTACTCGTTGGCCTCCCGGGACGTCACGGAGAGCAGGGTGCCCGAGGTGGCCCTGGTTCGGAGGAGCAGCTGGATGTTTGTGCGGCGAGAGCTCCCGCCTCCTCTGAGCTGATAACGCACAACGCTGCCCGAATCAAAGGAGAACTCTGGGACGGCTGCGGGGTGGGGGGGGGATTTAAAGTCACGTCAACTCTGTTTTGCTCATGAAAACTTTAGGATGCTGAGTTCAAGCGCTGGCGTCGCTGCACGAAAACACACACACACACACACACACACACACACACTTGTGTCCCTCACCAGTGTCACACTTGTGTCCGGTGTATCCTGGGTGGCACTGGCAGCTGAAGGAGCCCCAGTCAGCGAGACAGGAGGCCTGAATGCCGCAGGAGGGGCCGGCCGCTGTCACACACACCCCGTCTGTCAGCCTGCACCCAGGGGTGCTGTCCACGCTCTCACCTGGAGACGCCAGGTCGTACACCTGAGGGAAGAAAGATGTGAGAAAGATGAGTTTTTCTATTACTCTCCTCACAAACGTTTAGGTTGGCGATGATGCAGTGGATAAGAGACATGCCTTTGAGAGAGAGAGCACCAGGTTCAATTTCCACTGTGACACATCCACCCATGTGTCCCTGAGCAAGACAATTAACCCCTAGTTGCTACAGAGGCGTGTGACCTCTGAAATAGCATGTAATGTAGTTCGGCCACGGAAATATTTGGAAAAAGTGTTTTAAAACACCTAAAACTTGATATTTGCCATTCAGCTGGATTCTCCATGAGAGTGTAATTCAAAGAAGAATAAGAAAGTCATGTTCACTATGGACAAAAAAAACCATTTTACTTTTATTACAAGTTGTAACATTTGGTTTATTCTGTTGTCTACACTTGTTCACAGCATGCGAATAATTGACAAGATAGCGGACAAACAAACCGAATTCGTATACAAATATAAGTTTTAAAAAGAGTATTTTTTTTGTTTCGGTTTTTGAAAAGTTAGCGAAAGTTAACTAAACACTGAACATTAGCCCGTAACTGTCACCAACCAAGTTTGTTTAATATGATTTCTGAGGTGTTTGTTAGCCATTTGTGTTTGTGACTGACAGCCAGAAGAGAAGCAAGACGGCGTGCTGACGTCTTACGTTACTTTAAGTGCTGCCCTAAAAGGCTGTTCGAAACCAATGTTCTTAGAAGATGCCTTCACTCGAAAGTGATGCATTCTGAACCACCTGTTTATTACGGCAGCGAGGCAGCTGCCTCCTGTTTCCAACAGCCTCTACTTGAAGGCAGCATGAGTCTCAGTTCCTTAATATCACAGCTGTGGTGAAGCTTGTTAGGAGTGAAAACATGATCCAAACCTCCCAACTAAGCACAGGAAACAGCCCCAAAACACAAAGGGATTGTGGGTAGAAGGAGGAGGCAGATGCAGTCTTTCCTGGGGAATATTTTGGGATCTTTGGGAGGTTGTTGAGGGCAGCAGAAGAAACCACAGCAGCTCGTTTAGTTTCATGAGGAGGACGAGGAGGGAGGCTCTTTTCATTTATATTATATTTTAGTCTCTGATGTTGTGATGCTGGCCTTGGCTGATGAGCCAAGCTCACACCACCATCTGTCCAACCAACGGCACACACACACACACACACACACACAGATACAGACTTCCAAACATGAATACTGCATTTAAAAACAACAAACACACATGGAGGAAATGCTAATGATGTCTGGGAGGGAAACACGCACACATGCAGTGGTATTACCTGACTGTCCACCACCAGGTTGCGGATGCAGCCGGTGAAACTGCGGTAACGTCGATGAGGAGATGTTTCCTTCACTCCTCCCATCTGAAGAGGCTGGAAGACATTCAGATACCTGAGGAGGGGGAAGTCGAGGAGGAAGAGCATGAGCAAAAGGTAGAAAGACAAAGAAGATGAGAAGCAAAAGGAATTGGAGTAGTGAGAGAAAGAGGAGCAGAGAAAGAGGTGAACGAGAGGTGGAGGAAGAAGAGAAAAAGGTGGAGAAATGGATGGAAAGAAATGTGGGGTGAGAGGACAAGGCGAAGGAAGAAGAGCAGCAGGAAGATGAGAAAGGGGCGTGTAAGAAGAAGAGGAGTAGGAGGAGGAACGGTGTAAAAAAGATGTATAAATGAGAAGACAAGGAGAAAGGGAAAGATTGGAGGAGAAACAAGGAGAAGAGGAGGAGAAGGTGGAGAAAAGAAGTAGAGATGGAGGTGTTTAGAAGCAACAGGATAATAAAAAAAATAGAGTAGGTGAGGGGAGGATGTGGAGGGGAGAAGGGGGTGAAAGAGAAGTTGTCAGAAGAAGGAATAGAGGGGAAAAAACTTAAAAAAAAAAAAGTTTAGATGGAGGAGGAGAATTATTTGTGTCTCCCGGCTGTTCTGACCTCTGGTTTCCTGGAGTCTCTCCTGCAGCTCTGCAGCCAGACTCGTCCATCTCCTGGATATCCCCCCCGACGCCTTCCAACTCATTTACTGCCACCCCCCCACACTGGTCCAGGATCAGCTGCACAGCCTGAACACATAGAGGAGACAAACACACCACTGTCAACAATAATTGTCACAGGATGAAGGCTCCCTCTTGTTATTCATTTTGTTCTTCTCATTTTACAAATTTTCTGCTCTGCTCTGTTTAGTTAGTTTCAGTCAGTTTTGTTATTTTTAGTCTTTTCTGTATCTGTTATTTAGTCTGTTATGTTTAGATTAATTCTTGCCTGTTCTGTGTTTTGGGATCCACTGTTGTTTGATTCTTCTCTTGTTTTGGAACCTGTCTGCCTGGTGTTATTTACCACTCCTTGTTTGGTTGTTTTGTCAGTTTGTTCTGTGATTCTGGTTTCAGTCTGTTTCCATGTTTTATCTGGTTTTGATCTGTGCTTGTTTTCATGATTGTTGGGTGTATTCTCTGTTTATAGGTATTCATGTTTCTGTTGGGATTTGTCTGTGGCTTTGTTAGTAGCTCTGTTAGTTTGGGCCTGTTTGGTATCTGTCTGTGTTTCTGTCTGTTCATCACCCTGCCTGCCTGTGTCTGTCTGCTGTCATTAATAGTATCACCTGTTTGTACTCCTGCCCTTCTCGTTAGCCAGTACTACCATCCATCCCACCATCCGTCGGTGTGTCCTACCTTTCCGTCGCTGATGATGTCGAGACGATGCCAGCGTTGGTCGGAGACAGTGGATGTAGGCGGGAGCTGCAGGGTCAGCGTTCCTGATCCGTGGTTTATACTCAGAGCTGGAACCCCGTTTCTCAACTCTGGATGGGAGGATGAGACTCTTAGTTTGCTGCTTACATTAAAACCACACAAGTGGCCTGAATCTAAAATCCCTTAGGGCTTCCATGACCTGAACGTAGGGCTGGGCTGTTTGATTGAATTAATTTGAATCAAGAATTAATTAGCACTTAATTTGTCTTAGATAGTTATTTTATTGAGGAAAAAGGACTGTAAAAACAATTCGGCAATTTGAACTGGCTCAGATGGACTAAATGTGACGGGAAGTGACCACAGGTTCACATTTACATCATGAGATGTAGGGCTGAACGATTTTGGGAAAAAATCTAATTGCGATTTTTCTGCCAGATATTCGATTTGCGTTTTTCTTTTTTTTTTTTTAAGTTTAGCCAGACACAGAGCGGCACAGACAATCCGGTCAAATTTCAAAATAAAACACCCTGTGCATACTTCCGATCATAAATCAACCATAAACACAGTTAAAACAGACAACAGAAAGAAACACTTTAACTACGTAGCCTACCTGATCATGGTAGAAGCACAAAAATCAAGGACAACTGAACAAGTCAACATATCAGGCAACACGCTCTTATTCTGAAATGCTGCATGTAGGATAGGTAGCCTGCACAGAGCAGAGCGGGCTCACAGAGAGATGTTATACGTAGTGGAAGCACACAAAATGAGAAATTAACAACACTCACACACACTTCAGTGTGAGTTGACGCCAGACAAAACCGCGGCATAGCCGTAGTCTGTATCTGTTCGGCTGGCGCCATTATCCCATGTTTTCCTCTTGTTTCCTTTGTTGTTGTAAAATGTACACGCCCTGTGCCCGCTCTGATTGCTGAGCAGATCTGTCACACAAGGATGACATCGGAATGAATCTGTAACTGACTTAAAATGGGTCAAATGTGCTGTTTATTTAACCTACATTTCAACTGCCATCCTCACGATTAGCAAATCAAATTCTTTCAAATCGGAATGTCGATTTGAAAACAATTAATCGTTCAGGCCTATTGAGATGTTACCTGAGCCAGCTGCATTCACTGAATGAAGACAGTGAGATATGGTTCAAAGCTCAAAATCATTAGTATGAAGACTTCTAGTCACCTCTCTGTGTCGCTGTGTAACTGCAGAATCAACTCAGTCAATTCTGTGTGTGTGTGTTTTCCAACATCTTCTGAACTGCAGCACATATGAGATGTGTGTGAACATGACCCGATCTACCAATTGGCCATGTTATCGAATGCATCAAGTAAAAAATGCTTCACAGTGTTCAATCTGCAGCCATCTTTGATTTTCCACTCTCGGGACCCACATAGTGACTGGCCGCGTTCAATAATTACATAACTTTAATGCCACAAGATTATGCAAGAAGTGTTTGAAAGGCCATCTGCAGGCTAATCCGTTAAAACCACATCAGGACTGCCGGGAGCTGACATTAGAGTTTATGAAGCTCTTTGTCCACTGAGTCTTTACAGTGCCAGATTGATTTGCTCTTTGTGTTGTGTCAAAAGGACGAGCAGCATTCCCAGTAGCATTGTGAGATTAGCATGTTTGTCCGAGCGCTTATAATGTTTCCAACTTTTAGCAAAGCGATGCCGCGCTTCAAACAGAGTTTTCAGCTTTGTTGCAGCAGCAAAGAAGCCACACCCAGCGTCTCGCAGAAACATCAGTTCTGATCATGAAAGCTGTAAACTTTGGGAAAAGCTTCATCAGATGGTCTGACCACTGGTGTGTGTTATAAATGAATGAAAAAAGTTTGTTGGTCAGTTGGTCGTTCTTTTTATTTGCCCAACACTTCTGATAAAAAAGCACATTGAGACAACGTCTCAGAGTTTCATGAAATGTGGTTTTGATCTCCTAGCCCAGACCAGAATCTAATCATTCTCTGGTCTTTACAAAAGTCAATTCTGACTGTCATCTGGTCCCTTTCATAATTTTTCAGTGATCCACTGTCAATCAATTTGCTTCTTAATTACCTGTTGTACTCAACATGTCCCAGAATTAGAGGAGGGCAGTGTGCTTGCTGCATTCAGCTCTTGATTATATTTTTATTTTGACAGACTGGAACAAGCAAGGCAGCGATGGCTTGTCTGTCTGATAAAAATGACATTTCACCTCCCATTTGGAAACGCTGATTGCCTTGTGCATGTGTAGAACTTTGTCTCAGTTTTTGGCATTTGAACAATGCCCTAGTTCTTGGATTTACTATAAAATCATTCAGGCATATTAATCATTTCCATTTCTATGCAGACGACACCCAGTTGTTTGTCCCATTAAAGCATGGTTCTACCAATGTTTCTTGTAGTCTCTCTTGCCTTGCTGAGATAAAAGCCTGGATGTCTAATAACTTTCTTCAGTTAAACAACACCAAATCAGAAATACTTGTATTTACCCCCATCGGAAACAGTGCTAGCTACCTTAATAATCTCTCCACTAGCCTGGGTACCCTTTCGGACAACATTCAGAAAGAAGCCCGTAACCTTGGTGTCAGTTTTGACTCAGAGCGGCCTTTTGATGCTAACTTGACCAAAGTAGTGCAGTCCTGTTTTGTCCAGCTGAGACAGCTAACCAAGATTACATCATTCCTCTCTTCTGCTGACTTAGAGAAGGTCATCCATACCTTTATCTCCTCAAAACGTGACCACTGCAATGCTCTGTATTCTAGTATTAGAAAGGGAAACATTCACAGATGCAGCTCATTCAAAATGCTGCAGCCAGGCTTCAAACTAAGAGGAGTGACCATTTCACACCAATCATTGCTGCCCTTCACTTGTTACCTGTGAATTTTAGAAGTGATTTTAGGATTTTACTACTTGTTTTTAAAGCCTTGAACGGTCAGGCTCCTGCACTCCCTATGAGCTGGACCGATAACCCATGATATTTTGAAGATGCTTTTGCAATCAAACTCAGGTGAAGGTTACTGGAAATACCCTGAAGTGTGTTTGTGCGGTTATCTGCAGGAACAGGGAGGCAGAGACACGTGTACAAATTACAGATAAACGCCTTACCTAATGCCATTAATAAGAATATTTTGTGAACTTGATGATCTTTTTTAATCTCTAACAGTCAGAGCACCTCAGCAGTACACTCACCGACGGCAATGAAGTCCTCCTCCTCCCCAGAGTGGGCAGGGCCGAGCGGACCGTTGTAGAGGAGCAGCCCATTTGCCGACTCAGCCAGGAACTCCAGGGAGATGTGGCTCTGAAAGCAAGGCATGATGGGAGGGAACCAGGCGTAGCCCTGGCCACCGAAGCTGTGTTTGGTCTGCTGGCACTCAGGCCCATCAAACATGGGAGGACACTTACACCTGAGAGACAGAAAGAGTTTATTTTGTTGTTTACTTGATAGCATTAACCAAAATCTCTAAACAATGATAATCCTGCTGGTGAAAGCATCATTATGAAGGTGCGAAACACACTGAATTTATTTCAAATGTTAGTTAAGATAGTTAAGATGAGTACCTCTAAATATCAGTATCTATTAGCTCCCGAGGTTAAAAGGGTTAAATTTTATATATTGAAAATAATGCAAAAATCATCTAAAATTCTTCCACCAGATGCAGGACCATTAAATTTTTTTTGAAAACTTTGATTCTGAGGTCATAATTTCAAATTATCAATAAACTATTTAAAGGTTTTTTCTCCATATAATTAATTAATTGTTCATGTAACAATTCAAATATACTTTCTGTCAATGTTATGCCCCTAAATGATGTTCCAAAGTCTTTTCCACACTACCAGGATTTATCTGAGGAGAGAAACTCTTAAATATTGTAATTTAATTTAATATGTTTTGTCATAAAACAATAAAATTTAAATATATTTAATGTAAAAAACGTGGATCTTTCATTACCCACTATGCGTTTATAATCTGTGTAACAGTAAGAAGCAAACTTATCTTTGTTTCACTAAAGCCCAAAAGTTCTCCGTAATGTCAATGGAATTTCTTAAAGTATATAAAAATATCTCAGTTTCTGTGACTGCAGTTTTCATTAATTAAAATGACCTAAGAGAGACAAACAAAGACAGAAACCTTGACAGAAACACTGTTAATTAAAAGTTAACTGTAGTGTATATTTGCCAGTGTTAATAGGATTTTTTGAGAGTGGAAGAAAGAGACAAGAGAGCGTAGGAGGGACAACCATCTGTCAGATTTAACAGCTTAGGTGTTGCATATGATATTTAAACCTTTAAAACCATGTGACAATTTAAAGTCAACTACTTTACATGCAGCTTAAAATGAGGCTTTGGAGGGTTGAACTCCAGGAGAAATCTACCCTCTCTCTAATTAAGTCTTCAAAATATTTGAAGAAGATTTTATTAATCAGTTACTAAGTGAGAATCTCTGGTGATGCTAACAGTTAAGGACTCTGCAGGCGGACGGCAGACTGTTTGTCTATGGAGAGATAAAGCTGCTGCAGTGAGGAAAGTAAAAACAAAAGCTGCATCCTCAAATTTCAAAGAATTTTACAAGTCAAGTAAAACAGTAAAGAAACATTTAGTTTTGTGTGAGACCATTAATAAATTATAACTCTCGTCTGGCACTAATATACGCCACCAACATGTCTTTCTTCCAAAATGACGGGCAAAGTATTAAAAGAGGTGAAAATCATCACTAGTCTGGCCATGTTGCTTGTATGCTTACAGTCTGGTACAAAACACACAGGCATGATGATGGTACGTTATGACAGGAGTCATTGAGAGAAAACGTTATTACGTCTCATGATGCTACATGTAATGTTTGTGGTCTTAGTAACTATGTATTCTCACAGTCTTATACTTTGTCAATACTACTTGAAGTCTGCCTCTTTCTTGACATGTGAGTAATTAAGGACACAATTCAAGTTGGATCAAACAATTAGCCGACTACCATCAATATTTTTTCCAAAATAAGGTCCCATGGTGGTTCACCTGAAGAGGAGGGACTCTACAGACCAGGAGGACCTGTTACAGGAGGTTCCTTAGATTCCTCCCTGCACATACCTGTATCCCAGCGGACCGTCCTGGCAGGTGCCACCATTGAGGCAGGGGTTGGTGGGGTAGGCTGAGCAGGGCAGGTGGATTGCCTCTCTGCCCCGGCAGCCGCATCGCACTCTAGATGAGGCGGACAGCGACACCAGGGAGGTGTTACCAGTGCTGAGAGCCACTGGGGCCTGGCTGAATGAAACCTCAGTGCTGCAGCCTCCAGACTGACTGCAGTCTGTGGAGGGACAGTCATCAACGCTCACCTGAGAGATGGACACGCCCAACAGGCCCTCCAACTGCAGATCGTAAAATAAGAGATGACATAAAAACATTATGGTTATGTTACAAAGCTGAAGTTCAAAACATAAGATAACAATGCTTCTACATCAAACTAAAATGCAAAACAACTAACTGAAACAAATTATTGAAGCTAAACTAGCCTGATGCTACAACTAAAAGGAAAGTAAATGGCATGAAAACTAGCAGGAATCTAACTACGAATAAAATATAATTACTCTACTATTACAATTCTACTCTAACTGAAACAAGGACTCCTAGCATGAAGGGAATAGACCAAAACCTAGCATTAAAACTAGCTTGAAAGTCAAACAAACTAACTAGCCTAAATTAGCAAGAAGCCAACCGAAACCAAAACTAGCATGGATAAATAAAACTAGGATCAAAAAAACTAGTACCAGGCTAATTAAACAATCAAGAAACTACCATAGAATTAAACTAAACTTACACAACTGCAAGTATTTATGAGAAATATTAACCTGATTTAAATAAACTAGAAATACTAACCAAAACTAAACCTAGCATTAAAATAAAATTAATGTTAGCATAAAGCCAATTAAGATTAACCAGAGCATGAAACTAAAACGACCATGTGGGTAACAGAAACTAAAACTAGTATCAAACTGAACTGAAGTCAGATAGGCAAATCTAAACTTAACATAGTTAACTGAAACAAAAAAAATGTGAAGCTAAAAATGGCATCAACTTATAAGTAACTAGTATAACTAATGCTGAAATAAATCAGCTAATAACAACTAAAGCCAGCATAAAGGTAACAAGAAAGAAAGTAATCTAAAACTAATATGAGATGTAAAATAAAAGTAATATAAACTAACTGAAACCAGGACTCCTAGCATGAAGGCACTATACCCAAACTTAGCATTAAACTATTGAAAATTAAAACTAGCTTGAAAGTCAAACACACATCAAATAACCCCCAAAACATTACTAAATAAAAGCATAACTAGGATAAAACAAACTGAAACAAACTAGCATGAAACTGAAACCAAATCTAAAATGAAGCTAAAATTTGCATTAGCATTTACCTATAAGTATGTATAACTAGTATAACTAATGCTAACTTAAACAAATCAGCTAATCAGAACCATAACCAGCATGAAACCATTCAAAACGAAACATAACATGAAAGGTAAAGGCAACAGGAAAGAAAACAAGAACTAATATAAAACTAATGTTTTATTATATAATAAACTATAATTTACATTTGCTAACTGAAAATATAATTAAAATTAAACTCATGAAATTTTTCAACCCCCAACAAAGAAATTGAAGCTAACAGGAGACTTATAGTAACACAAAACAACAATTAAAACAAAATCTAGGGTGAATAAATATAAAACAAACATTGGGCAAAAACAACAAACTCTTATTTAAGTCGAGCTCTGTTTGAACATAATAGAGAGTTTCAGAGAATGACAGCAGCTCTCTTTGATCGAACGTCTACCTGCATCAATTATATCTGAATTTACTTTATTTCCCTTAATGTTATTTATGCACTTTGGTGTTTCTGTCATTTCCCCCTCCTGTTAAAGTTTCGCTGTCATTCGCTTTCTGTTGCCGTTTCCCTGCTTGTCATCTTGATTCTTTTCTCTAGTCTTGCCTTTATGGGTGAGAGAGGTTTTCATCAGAGTCCCTCAGGGTTTCCTGTCTCTCTCCAACTGTGTGTATTTCTTTTTTTGGAGTTTAGTTATTCAGCTGACACTCTTATCCGCAGTGACTTACACTCCCCAGGCAGGGCTTCAGTCTTTGGCTCCAGAGTCAGTTTAAACATCATACTTTTTTTATTATTGAAGCCGACTTTGTATTTATCTCACTTTCTTGTTTTAAATCAGCTAAAATAAATCTCACTTCTTCCACTAGTGGATATAAAAATGACTTGTGTTTACATGGTTCACTAACTGTCATCACCTTCCTCCCACTCACAGTATTGACCTTAGGTTAGCAGCTGCTCTCTCCTTTTAATGGGTATAAAATATTCATATGCATGTATATATTGAGTGTATCATTTGAGCAGTCACTTGCTAATGTGACGCGTCCGCATTTCAAGTGTAAGCCCTGTATTTAACTTCTCCTAGCATGTGTATGTCCATACGCATGTAAAGCAGAGAGTTAAATGGTTTACTGTATGTGTTAAGTGGCTGAGGCTTCTGAAATGCATGTATGTGTGAATGTGATGTTAATTGTGTAAAAATGGAGCAGATGGACTATTCCGTACTTACAGAAGATTTGGTGAAAGAATAAAGTACTACAGACCAAAAACCACACCAGATTTATTTTGCATGGACCAATAACGAGCTGGAACTGGAGCTGGAAATTAACTGACATGATGTTCAGGTGTGTTCAGTTATAAACAGAGACGATTTAAGAAAGAGATACGGGACAAACATGAATGGAATCCTATGGGGAAAGCCTGTAATGCTAAAGATGGTGGTTGTACGCACAAGAAAGCCAATCCTCTGCTTTTCAACAGCCAAGCCGGGAAACATATTAAGCCAATAGTGTGGCTCCACTTACGTTAGTGCACAGTTGAGGTTTGCAACAGTTTTAAATGTTTTGGTGGCAGCGAGGAGCAGGTGTGTGACCAGATCAGATGCACTACATGTCCGCTGCGTAAAAACGCAACAGATTTATATGCAGATACTTGGAATATGTGTTACCGGGGTGTAAAATACCAGGTTGCCTTCTATAAACGTATACAGTATATGCTAGCTGTATTCATAACGTCAGTTATGAGCTCATGGCGTCACGTCACCAGCGCTCTGGATAGAGCCGTAAATGAAGTTGGTGTGGTAAAAACCTTGTGCATGCGGAATAGAAGTATAACCTTATTTGGGCATAAAGTAATCATACTTTTTTAGCGTGTTTTATCAGATTTTACTGGTGATTCTACATGTAGTTTTTATGTCCCAGTGACCGTTGAAAATGCAGCTATGGCTCTCTCACCATTCACTTAGATAGGAGACAAAATCACTGCCAGGAGGCGTTACCAAAGACGGCTGCCAAGTGGCAGGACATTCCTATATATGGACTTTGTTAAAAATTCATGAATTCATTAAAGAGACCTTGCAGTACATGTTGAAAAAGGAGACCACTGATGACTCATATTCAAAATTTCTGAAAACCCTTTTCAGGCTATATCTTCCTTCTCACCCTGGCTTTGTATGCTGCCACGTAGCCGTGCAGCTTCTCTGCCTTGTAGTACGGTGAGCCGTGAGCGGCAAACCATACATTGATGGCCTTCTCTCCCTGCTGGCCGGCGTCGCCCACAGAGAAGATCTGGACATTTTCCGGCAAAGTGTGCAGGAGTTCAGCCAACATTCGACCCAGACGAGAGAACCGACTCTCCTCACCTCCGCTAAAAAACTCCTCCACTGTCAGATCTGGAATAAGAGAAGGAGGGTTTATTTACAGATTTACATATATAACAGATTTATTTACTAACTTTATAAACCTTCAGGGGAAATCATCAGCAGGACAGACAGACATACTACAAGATAAATAAAAAAAGTTAAAGAAATACAAAGATAAGAAGGAAAGAAAGGAAGGAAGTTATTTCCCATCATGCCTCTCTGTCTGTTGGTTCTGATGAAGCCTGGGGGAACTGACAGCCCTGAAAATGAGACCCAACGGCACTCGGGGATATGAAACATCGCATCTTCAATTACAGTGTGGTGAGATGTTGTCAAGCGACTTCAAACACTTCTAGTATTAATAATTGTAATAGTATTAGATAAAAAAGGGTTTTCTGATATTTTGACACCATCATCATCATCATCATCATCATCATCGTTATCATTGTGAGACTCACTGGTCACACGAATGGAGGCGGCGTTCTGCAGACCGTCTTGATGCAGCTCCCTGACGTCCACCTGAGCTGTGGAGATAACGTCAGGCCAGGTGTGGTCCGACACGCGTACTTGCAGGAGGTACGAGCCTGAAGGAGTCCCCTCCCTGATAGTGAGCTGACCTGAGCTCTGGTTCAGACTGAAGAGCCTGAGAGAGAGAGAGAGCGAGAGAGAGAGAGCGAGAGAGCGAGAGAGAGCGAGAGAGCGAGAGAGAGCGAGAGAGCGAGAGAGAGCGAGAGAGAGAGAGAGAGAGAGAGTTGCTTTAAATGTTTTATGTTTCAGGCTGGTATTTTTTCTGTATTGGACATCATTTGTCCATAATTGGTCCAGATCAGCTGCTTCCTTCTAGCAGATATTTATTTATATATATATATATATATTATATATTTATAATGATTATTTCAAAGGGACAGATGCTATAAACAGAGAATTGATCAATAATTTTCCAATAAAATGCATCTCAGCATTTATACCTACTGCTAATTTCCAATGCCTGTCCTTAGGAGGGCTTTTAGAGTAACAAATATATAGCATACTCACCGCTCATTCAAGCTATCTCCACGACCACCCAACCCCTACACATGGCCACACGACTGATTATCTTTTTTTTTTTTATTCAGTTTTATTGAAATGCTGATGATTTTGTTCTATATTTACCTCAATAGGCTCCAGGTCTTGGCTCCCTTGACTGAAAAGGAAGTCTGGCCAAAGGACGTTTTCCTGTATGATAATTTACAATTCCCTGCAGTAGTATTTCCTTTAACGGCTGTACCATGTCGCAAAGAGCCTGAGGAGTCTGTCCATGCAAACACTTCCAAAGGTTTGCAAATGCACTGTAGTTGTCAAAACAAATGCATATGTATGGCCTGTTTGCACATGTGGTATGTCTGTGTTGATGTGTTTTATTCCTCTAATTTTGAAGCAACTTTCCATAAAGGTAACTTGCATCTGTATTTATCAAAACAAGATTCTTTGTATTGATAGCATTTCAAATGAGAGGAGGCTTTAGCAGTCTAAGTAAGCCAAATTATTTGAGTATCTTTTAAAATTTGCTTTGTCCTTCTAGTACCAAATTCTCTTTTTGTTTTCTCTTGCTGAGCCTGTTATAATATTACGTGTAAAGTGAAGCAACCTGCATGGAACAACGCCAAAACGCAAGGGTAAATTGATATACAATGTCAATATCCGATGGACCATGGGAGTGGAATGAAATGAAGTCTGGCCTGATGCTCTTAATTATCTATTTTTCCCATGTGATCTTAAATCGGGTAAAGTCTATCTCAGATGGGATTCCTCAGATCAAACTCTGACCAGATGGAGGTCTGTGGCTGGACATGGATCCATGTGGCGGATATTTGATCTGGAAAACTTTGGCACTCTTTGCTCTGCTGCACCGGAGAATGGATCCCAGGCGCAGTGGCTCGGGTCCAAATCTGGTCCTGAATATGTGCCATCAGGCTCATGTAACGGTTTAACCTCTTTACACCACAGCGACCTTCAGAGCTCAGACCAGACGGATTAATTAACTGAGACGAGGCCAAAATGCATCCGGGACTGAACCTGCACTGATTCAGCAGGGGAGGCTGTTACGTACCGTCTTCTGGATTTATGTCACGCTTTAAAGATTTTAAGTGCAGCAACACAGCACTCCACTGACAGGAAACAATTGAGAAGATTTAATGTGCAGATCAATCCCACACAAATTACGGTCCGCTGGCTCAGGATGTTAGTATCTTCTTTTCTTTATATGTAACATGCTGTTTGTTGTCTTGATTTCCTGTGAGGTGACATGTTGTTATTGGCTCGCTCGGGTTTTTTCATCTCACCTGAACACTGTTCCTTATCTTATTTTTCCTCCGGCTTGTATCACTTCAATATGTAAATAACATGCACCTAAACCTGATCCATACCGTGAACAAATTGCTATCTGCAGGCTGGAGTGATGAGGGGCGGCGTTTCAAGAGTATCTATGGTAATTCTCTAGCGGTCCCTTTGTTCTCCGACATATCTTGTCGTCCCTCTTTACAGGTATCTCGTTAGAAGAGAAGGTGGCAGGGAGCGCAATCAGGCTCTCCTTTCAATGCGCCCGCATGAAGCCTCGCCTCATCAAACAAAACGAGCGCGCCCTCGCTGTGCTTCACTGGGAATTTTCAATACTGCTGGTTATGAAGTATTAATAGCACTGTTCCTGACAAGTCAGATCCCCTTTTCTATCTCTCTCTCCTCCCTGTCCTCTGCCCTTTCATTCTCTTTCACTTTCTTTGTTTCCCCCTTCAAACTGCCTGTTCCTCTGTCCCAATTTTCCTTTCTCCTCTTTGTCGCACCGCACCTTTGTACTGTCTCTCCCTCTCTATTTTAAATCTGTCAGTTCCTGCTCCGCTCTTTTATTTTCTCTCTTCTTCATGCGTCTCTTGCTGCGTGCCACATGAGAGGGGACACTTTAAGAGGGAATCTTTTCTGCTTTAGCTCCAACACATCCTAAAACAGCTTTACATCTGCGTTTCTCTGGATGGTTTATCCAAAACTAGTCACAAAATGCCAAACAGGAGTGTGTATATTAAAGACTGTCCATGGCAGAGGGAGTGCAGAGACAGATATCTTAAAGACCTAAGTAAGCTAGGAAATATGCTTTTTTGCAGTTTGTCCATTGACCTCTTAATATTCTTCTCAACATTTAGGTATATTCAACAATTTTGTTGACAACAAAATTTTCCAAGAAAGGGCTTTGCAGTTTTAGATTTTTGGATATATTTGTCCCACTGATCCAGGCAGCCATTATCTTCAATGTATTTCCGTACCATGCGAAAACCCATTTGTATAACACATCAAGTCTGAATTAATGCTTAATTAATTAATGTCACATTATCATTTGTGTGGTAAATTATTGAGATTTGAGGGCAGACTGATTTGAAAGGTTGGCATAACATTTTGCCACGACACAATAATGCAACATGGACAGAAAAGACAGAACACAAAACCAACTGCTGCCAGGAACCATAAAAAAATGCATCCCAGTTTCTAAAAAAAAAGCAGCAAGTTTTCCATTTGACAAAATAAAGAATTTCTACTTGTGTTATTTAAACTTCAAAACAGCTTAAAGTCTTGTTTATCCTTTTCCTCTCCAACACTAATGCCTCTCGTCTCCTCTCTCAAGTTACCTACCTACCTCTCTAGTCCTATAAATCTGTCACCCTATGTCCCATATACCATACTATTTAGGAAAATATTAAGTATGTCCCAATACATGGTAAAAATAGCAGGATGGCCTATGATGGCATTTTGCAGTATGCAAGCCAGCAGGGCGAGTGTCAAAGTTCAAGGTGCACTGTTATGATGAAGTAGTATGTCCCAGTTGTATGTATAATTCATGTAACAGTACATACAGTATATGTAAGGGCAGCTGGAGAACGTACTAAAAGTAAAAGAAATAATATGTAATTTGGAACACAGTACCATTCTCTACGCCTTTCTCTGCCTCTCTTTGCATTATCTCCAACCTTTTCATACCTCTATATTTAAATCTCTCTCAACTCCTCTTTATCACCACCTATATCTACAGTATCACTTTCTTATCTTCTCTACCTCATTATCTACCTCTTTGCATCTGTGTTTTTTCTTTACTTGTCTGCTTCACTTTGCTTCTCTTTCTCATATTGCTTCTTTCTTTTTCTTTTCTTGTGGCCTTGCTCTCCTTCAAAGCCCTCTCTTTACCTCAACACCTTCTGCCTAACTATTACTTTTCCATCTCTACTTTCACATCCATCACTCTCTTTTTGCATGTCACCATCTCAGAGTTTTTACCAAATGAGATCAAAGTACCTGGATGGTTTGCCTTCGAACCGGTACACCTTCTCACTCCAGTCATCAAGGTCGGGAGATTGAACTTGTCCAAGGACTGTCGTCGGGAGAATACCTGTCAAGAGGAGGGAAATAAAAGACACCAAAAAAGTTTAAAAAAATGCATTTGAAAGGAATTAGTTTTGAGTGCAAGGGATCCCGGCGGTACAACCCAAATATTAAGAGTGAAGGAAAGAAAGTGGAGGATTCTTTAAGGAGTTAAGGTGTCAGGCGACGCCTCATTGGCAAGCATGGTCATGGTTTGACGGCACAGCAGGAAGATGTGCACACATTAGAATCGCTCGCATAGTGTCCCCCCCCCTTCCAAAAAAAGCTGAACGCAGCGCTGTAATCTCTTTAGCTGTGAAATCAGCAGCTTTTTAAAAATGGCTCCTGTTTATGTGCCTGTCAAACCTGGGACTTAAGCTGTAGTTAATTGTTTGCTTCATGGCATGTTGTTGAGGTACGTGATGGATTCATATTAGCGGTTTAATGTACTTTCATGTGGAAAGGCCCCGGAGAGGGAATCCACTAAAAATACATTACAGAAAACCTTAGTTTTTTCCAGCAAATTACAGGACGCTGACAGATGGTATGAAACGCTAAATAAGTGATGTGGGCTGGAGCAGGAGGCTGCAAGCAGTCAACTGTGACAAGTAGAGTCTTAACAACACGAGCACAGAGCACTCTGGAGGTGATGGGAGGGACACCGGGGGACCTGAAGGTTAGAGGAGCCCGTCTGTGACAGAAAGACACCAGTTTGAATCCCTCAGACCAGCTGGTGGACTCTGATCTGGGACGATGAATGACAAATGTTGTTATGTCCCTATACAACTACCATGTGGGTGCCCTTGAGCAGGCAACTTCTTCAGTGGAATAGAGAGTAGTAGGTTGTACTTTGAAGCTCTCAGGTGTGAAATGCAAAACAGCCAAGTGCACTCAGAAAGCCTGTTTCTGAATAAATTAAGGTTAACAAGCAAAAAAAAAAAATAACTTAGCCGTGTCCTCAGTAACGAATCAGGTATAAAAAACGGAACACATACCCTCATAACTGTAGACGATGAAGTTGGCGTGTCCTGGTGAGTGTGGGTGGTCATTCCTGTCGCCAATGATGACCGTCAGCGTGCTGGTGGAGCTCATTGGAGGTGAGCCACTGTCAATCATGAGGATCGGGAGGTGGTATTCCTTCTGCCGCTCGCGGTCGAAGGTCCGGAGGGCAGTGATGGCTGCACTGCCGTTTCGAAAGTCAGTCAAATTGAAGTTGGTTGCATCCGAGGTGAGCATGAGAAGCCGTATGGAGAAAGGGCCGCCGTTGGTGGAGGTGTCCCGGTCGGTGGCGTGGAGGAGGAGGGAGGTTTCGTTCATCTGAACTGCCTGGGGTGCCGCCGTGTTCTCCCAAACGACAGGCTTATAGGGGACCTCAAACTCGGGTCCATTGTCATTAATGTCAAGTACAGTTACCATGACGATGGCAGTGCCAGTCAGGGGTGGACTCCCAGCGTCGGTGGCGAGGACCATGATCCTGTGCTGCGAGATTTTCTCCCTGTCCAGAGAATCGGCCACCACCACCCAACCAGACTGGTCCACCAGGAACTGACTGTAGGGGTCTGACTCTTTTGAAATACTGTAAGAAAAGTGTCCATTTTGGCCCGAGTCCAGATCAGAAGCTGTAACCTGAGCAACAATTGTCCCTACAGGTACATCTTCAGACATGGCTTGTGACTCATAGAATTGTGGGAAAAATATGGGCGCATGGTCATTGGAGTCTTCTACCTGAACGAGACAGTAGGCCAGGCTGAAGAAATCAGCGTCTTCGGCCTTCAGGGTCAGATTGAAAGTCCTCTCGTGGGGCTTCTCAAAGTCAACCATCTTCTTCAGTTTTATCACACCGCGTCGGTTCACTTTGTCTGTCTCCACGAAAAACTTCCTGTCTTCGTCTCCACCAACGATGCTGAAGGTTACCACGGCATTCTCACCCTGATCGCCGTCTGTAGCAGAAACTACAAGAACGTCGCTGTTCACCTCCAGGTCTTCTCTCACCTAAACACCGGAAGAAAAGAAGTGGGTCATTATTGTAATGTTATAATTTGCAATGATGTTGACAGAAGGAGGTGTTTTTGGACTGGTGACTTTTAATATCCCCATGTGTTTCTTTTTTCTTTCCACATTATACTGAACAAAAAGTTTTGTTTTTGCCCCCATTCATCATGAGCTGAACTCAAAGATCTAAGACTTTCTCTATGTACACAAAAGGCCTATTTCTCTCAAATATTGTTCACAAATCTGTTAAAATCTGTGTAAGTGAGCACTTCTCCTTTGCCGAGATAATCCACCCACCTCCCAGGTGTGGCATATCAAGATGCTGATCAGACAGCATGGGGATTGCACAGGTGTGCCTTAGGCTGGCCACAATAAAAGGGTGCAATGGGCCAATGTGCAGTTTCGATGTATTGGGGGGATTAGGGGTGGTCCGGAAACCAGTCAGTATCTAGTGTGACCACCATTTGCCTCACGCAGTGCAACACATCTCCTTCGCATAGAGTTGATCAAGTTGTTGATTGTGGCCTGTGGAATGTTGGTCCACTCCTCTTCAAAGGCTGTGCAAAGTTGCAGTCAGGTCGAGACCCCGATGAGGACGACATGCATGCAGATGAGCTTCCCTGAGACGGTTCCTGACAGCTTGTGCAGGAATTCTTTGGTTATGCAAACCGATTGTTGCAGCAGCTGTCCGGGTGGCTGGTCTCAGATGATCTTGGAGGTGAAGAAGCTGGATGTGGAGGTCCTGGGCTGGTGTGGGTACACGTGGTCTGCGGTTGTGTGGCCGGTTGGATGTACTGCCAAATTCTCTGAAACGCCTTTGGAAACGGCTTATGGTGGAGAAATGAACATTTAATTCACAACAACAGCTCTGGTGGACATTCCTGCAGTCAGCATGCCAACTGCACACTCCCTCAAAACTTGCGACATCTGTGGTGTTGTGCTGTGTGATGAAACTGCACATTTTGGAGTGGCCTTTTATTGTGGCCAGCCTAAGGCACACCTGTGCAATCCCCATGCTGTCTGATCTGTATCTTGATACGCCACACCTGTGAGGTGGATGGATTATCTCGGCAAAGGAGAAGTGCTCACTAACACAGATTTGTGAACAATATTTGAGAGAAATAGGCCTTTTGTGAACATAGAGAGAGTCTTAGATCTTTGAGTTCAGCTCATGATGAATGGGGGCAAAAACAAGTGTTGCGTTTAAATGTTATGAGGTCCTATACAAATAAACTTGCGTTGCCTTGGTGGACTCACCTGAGTGGTGTAGAGCCTTTGAGTGAAGACAGGTGGGTGATCGTTGACATCCGAAACCATGATGGTAGCTGTCCCTGTTCCCGCCAAACCCCCTCCATCTCTGGCCTCCACCACCACCAGATACCGGTCCTCCACCTCCCGGTCCAGGGAACGTAGAACTGTGTATATGGTGCCTGTGCTAGCGTTGATGGAGAACAGGTTGAGGTTAATTTCATTGCGGACATTCTTGATGATGCTGTAGGTCAGCATGGCGTTCTTGCCCTCGTTGGGGTCGTCCAGGTCCATGGCGCGCATCTCCATGACGGAGGTGTCGGCGGGCGAATTTTCAGGCACTTGGCCGACAAAACATCCGTCTACTTCCAGTGCCGGACACGGGAAGAAGGGTGCGTTGTCATTAATATCTTGGACCTCTAACAGGACATCAGCAAACCCTGTGAGTCCGGCCCCTCCCTCGTCTGTGGCGAGGACGAGGAATCTCCAGGCTGGGCGCTCCTCGCGGTCCAGGCGCCGTTGGGCGTGGATTCTTCCAGTGCGTTCCTCAATGGTGAACTCACCACCAGCACCCTGGCCATGGAGGGAGTAGCGGAGGGCAGTCTGGTCGGCCTCCTGGTCTGGATCTGTGGCTGACACCTGTTAAAGGACAGACGTAGATCAGATTTATTTTACGGCGAGAACCCTCTCGGCCTCTCTTGTCTTCTACTCATAATTCGAATCCAAAATAAAAATTGAAGACCGTCATTTATTAATAATGCTGTCCACAGTGCTGGAACAAACTTCCAAAATATATAGGACATATACATACATTTATGATAAGATATATAAGATAAGAGGTATTAAATAACCCCGATCAAGTCACTCAAGCATTTATTGAATTTATCATGGGAAGAATCGTCCAACAGATAATTTCCCAGGAGCCATGACGCCTGCCTTTGAGTGTGGCCATTTAGAAAAGGTATTAAAAACACTTTTGTCTTTAGACGTGGCCGAGTGACACATCATACTAACTAGTTCATTTGAAGCATACCGACGCAGGTAGGCCAGCCAATCCTAAATAAGTCAAATACATCATCTACCCTAGCTTTGAGTCCGTAACTCTAATCTATCACTTTTTATCTTTTATGATTTCTTTAAAAAATGTTTTCTATCCTTTTAATTAATGCTGTTAATGTCTTATGTCGTATTTCTAACTTAATGTCTTTATTAGAGAATTTTGAATTGGTTTTGTGTATGACATGCTCACTGACTATTGTCCCATTAAAAAAAGTAAATAGCTAAAAACTAGTTGCTTACAATTAATGCTTATATAGCTTATAAACGTCTGTTACAGAGATTTACCTCCATATTCACAGTTGTTGTGTTTTTCATAATGACAGACAGGTGACTTCATGATAATAAATTTTAATAAACCTTTCTGAAGGCATTTTCATTTGTTATTTAACTGCAAGCTATATTTCGTTTTTTCTAACAGATAATGCATTAAAAAGTGATGGGGACATGTCCCCAGTGTAAATGACACCTATGCTTGAGTAACTGCTTAAGTAGTTTTTAAAGTTATTATACAGACTGAATAATCACATTTTTTGTGATAATGAAAGTCTAAACACAACCTATATACAACATAATACCAACACCACATTCTCTTGATTGATTTCATTATGTGGACTGCAGTGAAACATCGTGCCTGCCTGTCACAAGCACCAACATTGACTTTTCAATTGAATAACATTCCTCTTAAAAAGGAACTATTTCTTTTTGAGGTGTTTCTTATCAAAAAAGTCGAATTGCTTTTTCATTATGTACAAATGTCAAGCTCAGCAAATAGGACATGAGGCAGGGAGCTGATTGCAGCAGCTGCCCCGCACACCGGGACTCCTGCAACACAGGAATAAACATTTCTCTGTTGCTTTGTCCTGTTTGCTTAATTAACCTGCCTTCCTGCTATCTCTCTGAACGAGGGGACAGGAGCGACGACGCGAGCTCTCACATCTGTCACCGCGACACACAGTGCAATTAAAAGTTAATAGACGCCAACAAAAGCAGAAATAAGTACACTTTTACCCTTTCTTCTCCTCTTTTCTCACCAGAGGGTTTGTTTACAGAAGCCTTTGAAGTCCCCCCCCCAACCCCCGCCCGCTGCCGCCACCTCCCCCCCTGTTGGCTCTCTGCATTCCCTGACAACGTGATGCAGGTAGACAATATTGAAGATGAGCAGTCGCAGCGCGACAGAGGAGGAGGCTGCCGCGCAGGTGAAGTAAAAAAAAAATATTCATTTCAAATTGGATTTTCCTCTCCGTTCACTATCTGCTGAATTGTATTAATGCACGGCGCTCAAAGCGGCGCACGTTCAGGGAGGAGCCGGCAGCCATGCGCCAGAAAACTATTGAGAGAGTTAGAGAGGAACCGAGTGTATATCAAATCAATTCCAGCAGGCGAAGGGGGAGCGGGCTGGGGTTGAGGACTCTGTGACACATGCCTCTCTGATGGGGATTACTTTCCTGCCCTCTCACACGCACTTCCACCTTTTAAAATCTGATTTGACTTGGCTGCACATGCATATTACTGTGAATTACCGGAGATAGGTGTGACGAAAGGTGGATGAAAGCTGTAGAAGAAGGAGGTCGACTTTGACTTTCTGAGGCAACTTTTCAGATCCGGGGCCCTTCCTGTCAGGAAGTTTGGTGCCTCTATCAGCTGATATTGTGTTAAACAATGTCACACACATGTGATGTGTTAGCATGTGGTCACTGGATCTCTACTGAGGTGTCGCTCCAGGCTAATTCGTCTCTGTGTTTGAAGCGTGACCGACACTTTTAGATTTCTCTGTATTAAACATGATACGTTCTCACATCTTGCTCACACAAACTGACATTTACACAATATGCTCCTTCATGGTCAAGGTGCATTCAAAAATGTGCTGCTTTCTCATGTTGACATTTTAAACAGTTTCATCTGGACTGGATGGACATCTGATCGGTGCTTTTATTTAAAGTGTTTAGCTTAACAGTCAAAAACTTATACCCTGCTGTCAACACATCCATCCATTCATTTTCTACATCCACTTACGCTGTTCAGGGTCACTGAGGGGCTGGAGCATATTTGGGTTACCTGACTGGACAGAGCTTAACACAACATAACATGTACATTTTTATCAAGTGTATATAGAGGCAGTGTGAGTGTTTATCTGGTTTATTTAGGGTTTGTTTAACTAAAGTAAGCAGGCCGCTGGCTGTAATCACCTCAGCAGATATCAGATCCACCCGTTACCTTATATTTTGCAGACTGTACTTTTCCTTGCTGTTTTGGTGTAAGGCGAATCGTTACACCTTTTCTGTTTGTATTCACACCGGCAGTGAGAACGCTGAAGTTTTGTGGCTGGCTGGCAGCGGTTGGAATAGCAACCCCACTTTTGCGCAGCACACAACAACAACCCTTAACAAGTTGGAGCTCAGAGCTGTCTGTTTGTTGTAAGTTGTGGGTTTCGTGATAGTAACGTGATAGTAAGTTGAGAAAAAAGATGTGAACCTTTAGACTATGCGTTTGAAAGAGCAAGAAGAAGGAGAGACAAAAACTCATGGCAGCACTTCATATCGCAGACAAGACAAGAACACATGACTGGAGACAGAGGAGACATGTAACTAACTTTAAAGAGGTGGTATTCTGCTCATTTTCAAGTTCATAACCTTATTTAGGGGTTGTACCAGAACAGGTTTACATGGTTCAATTAAAAAAAAAAACATATTTTTTTTCATACTGCACATTACTCCAGCTCCTCTTTTCACCCTGTGTCGAACGCTTCGTTTTAGCTATGGAGTGATACATCTTGTCTCTAAATGATCTTTGTTCGGAGTTGCACGTGCGCAGAGAAGGGCGAGTCAGTGAGAAGCCCGTAAACAGCTTCGATTCAGCTGTAGGCTACATGTTGACTCCTCAGCCATCCCTCCAACCAGGGTGGTGAGAAACTTGGTAAACTTTGGCACCATCTGCCTAAACTTACAAACTTCTTGGCCACTGCGCTCCTCCAACGAACGCCGCCTGGCTCTGCCACCCCTTCACAAAAGCAGTCTCAGTCCCTGTTCTCATCTGTGACACCACAATGGAGGAACGAGCTACCACACGCCATCAGAGCAGGGGCGTCACTCTCTAACTTCAAGAAGCTCCTGAAAAGTCTTCCGAGAACACTTCCTCTTATGACACCTCTAACCTCTAACATGCACTTCCTGTGCTCTTCTTCTTTTATCCTCTACAATTCTCTTGTATTGATTGTACTTTTTGTTAACGCATACTAGTAGTTATTGCTGCTTTTATTATGTATTGTCAGTGGTAGTTCTCGTGCTGTATTTAATGCTCTGTTGATGCTTGTATGTTATTCCTCAAATGTAAGTTGCTTTGGATAAAAGCAAATGAGTAAATGTAATGTAAATGTTGCTGACCAGCTTGGCAACATGGACTGGAGCAAGAGTTTCAGAGTGGTGAGTTATTAATCTGTAACAAAAGTATTTTTCATCCATTCACAGGAACAACTTTATGTCCACTGACTGCCTGGAGGGTAGCTAGTGTTTGGAAGGGAGAGGAGAGCTGTGTGCTGCAGCTCACTGGTGTTTTTGAGGGCGTGTCGGAGTAGCCGCTTGGTGAGCGTTATATGAAGCGCATTTAGCTTTCAACCCTGTGTCGTCACAGGGATGAAAGGGAAGCAGCTGGACTACAAACGAGCTGTTTTCCTACAGTTCAGAGCAGAGTTGTCTGTGGGAGATGGGAACTCCCTTTGGGGTGGACTTTGGGCTAACCCTAACCTTAACAAATTACATGCACAAAAAAGGTATATAACTCTTAGGTACTTCAGGGGAAATATGTAGGGATGGGTACTGACACCCGGTATTTAGCCCAAGGGCCAAATTATTAAAGACCATAGTATTGATACGCCTGACGTGCTGGCTCAGCTAACAGCGAATTCTTACAAACAAGCTAAAAAGACAGCTGTCTGTATATAGTATATCTGTTAGAGTAGTTTGCCACGTTCAGTCCCCTCCAAAAGTATTGGAACAGTAAGGCATTAAGTAAGACATTTGGGTTTAAGATCAAAAGATGAGACAAGAGTTCAGAATTTCAGCTTTTATTTCCTGGTATTCACATCTAGATGTGTTAAACAACTCAGGACATATTCTGTATTAGACCACAGCATTCTTTGGTGAGCAAAAGTAATGGAACAAATAATCTTAAAGGAAATAACATTTAATATTTGGTGGCATAATAATTGCTTGCAATAACTGCCTCAAGCCTGCAACCCATCGACATCACCAAACTGTTGCATTCTTCATTTGTGATGCTATTCCGGGCTTTTACCGCAGCTTCTTTCAGTTCTTGTTTGTTTTGGGGTGTTTCTCCCTTCTGTCTCCTCTTAAGGAGGTGAAATGCTGCTCTATTGGGTTAAGGTCAGCTGATTGACTTGGCCAGTCTAAAACCTTCCACTTTTTCCTCTGATGAAGTCCTTTGTTTTGTTGGCAGTGTGCTTTGGGTCATTGTCCTGCTGCATGAGAAACTTCCTCCCCATCAGTTTTAATGCATTTCTCTGTAAATTGGCAGACAAAATGTTTCTGTCCACTTCTGAATTCATTCTGCTGCTAACATCATCAGTTCCATCAATATTAATGAGCCTGTTCCAGAAACAGCCCTGCACGCCCAAGCCATGACATCACCTCCACCATGCTTCACAGATGAACTTGTGCTTCGGATCATAAGCAGTTCCTTTCTTTCTCCACACTTTGGCCTTTCCATCACTTTGCTAGAGATTAATCTTGGTCTCATCAGTCCATAATATTGGGTTCCAGAACTTTTGCTGCTCATCTCTTTGCAAATTTCAGTCTGGCTGATGAGTGGTTTGCATCTTGTGGTGCGGCCTCTATATATTTCTGCTCTGAGACTTCTTCCAACAGTGGATTGTGATACCTTCACCCTGCACTGTGGAGGTCATTGCTGATGTCACTTACTGATGTTTTGGGGGTTTTCTTCACAGCTCTCACCATATTTCTGTCAACTACTGTTGTTTTCCTTGGCCGACCTGTTGGACGTCTGTTGCTCAGTACACCAGTAGTTTCTTTCTTTTTCAGGACGTTCCAAATTGTTGTGCTTGTTATGCCCAATGTTTGTCCAATGGCTCTTCTCGATTTTCCTTCTTTTCTCAGCTTGACAGTGGCTTGCTTTTCTCCCACAGACAGCTCTCAGGTCTCCATGTTGGTTTATCCTCTTTAACAGGAAATGCAGTCTTTGTAGGTTTGAACCAAGGATGAAAACTTAGACTAGTCATGCAGAGCTATTTAATGTTTGGACAATCAACCTAAAAGGCAACACCTGGGCAACAAGAAACATCTGGAAGTCACATGTTCCAATAGTTTTGCTCACTTGAAAAATGGGGTGATATGTCCTGAGTTGTTTAACACATCTAGATGTGAATACCAGGAAATGAGAGCTGAAATTCTGACCTCTTGTCTCATACTCATCTTTTGATCTTAAACCCAAATGTCTTAAGTGAACAACAAAAACAAAGGAATTTGCCTTACTGTTCTAATACTTTTAGAGGGGACTGTATCTTAAAAACCAGGCCTTCGTCCAATCAATGTACAAAATGACAGTGAGAGAAAAAAACAATGTCATGTCCCCCAAGAACCCTTTAATATGATGTCAGACCCATGGGACACGATTACTGACCTCCAGGATGAAAACAGGCAGCTGGGTGAGCTCTTCGGTCACGGCGGCGTGGTACTCAGTCTGGCTAAAGACGGGCGCCTCATCGTTGCGATTGGCCACCTGAACCACCACCAGCGTCTCGTTCTCCCACTTCCCGTCGGAGGCGACCAACCGGAGCTCGTAGCGCTGCTCCATCTCGTAGTCCAGAGGCTGAGCCACAAATATGGTGCCCACCTCGGGCTCCACGTCGAAGGTGCCCATGATGTTTCCCGAGGTGATCTGGTAGCGCAGCTTGGCGTTGGCACCTGGAGGGAGGAAGCGAAGATCAGGACAGTTTAAGTTGTTTGGTATAAATGATCAGATGGAGGTTGAGATCTGGAGGTGAAGGTGGAAGAGGAGGATGATCAGTAAAACCTTCTCATTTCAGAAGTTGATCAGCTGAATAGTTGATTGACAGAATTAATTAATCCCAGCTTTGATAATAAACATACTTACTTATTTATGGCGAGAGTCGTTGCTTTTTTTTATTTCGTTGAGACTAATTAAGCAATCTGTACACATCACCTTGTCTTCTGGAGATTTAAATTGGCATTTCTCTGTATTTTTTAAAAACATAGCATAAAAGATTAGTGATGTGTACAAAAAAAAGATGAATCAGTTAATTAAAGATAAATGTTAGTTGCAGCTCTGCTCCTGAATATTTCACCAGACAGTTTCACACAGAGGAATCTTTTAATCCTTCTACTGAAATGAAAAAGTCACCAAAATTGGACTTGCCACGATGGTGCAGGACAGCAGTACTTGTTTTTGGAAAATTCAAATAAATTACACACATAATAATCTTCCCCTGATTATTAGATCATCCCTCACCGTCGACACTTTTAAGTCTCGTCTTAAAACACATTTTTATTCTTTGGCATTTGAGTCTGTTTAGGGGCACCTGCGCTTTTCCGTTCAGTCTTTCTTTTTTATTTAACTGTCTTGTTTTTCTATCTTATTGCTGTATGTCATTAATTGTTTGGCCTGTTTTAATTTATCTGGTTTTAATTTTTATGTCTTCTACTGTATGACTTTGTCCAGCACTCAACTCTGGTTGTTTTTAAATGTGCTTTATAAATAAACTTGACTTGACATGGCTGACATGATCCCAACAACACAGAAAGTGATTCAGTCCATTAACCACAACATCTCTTATCATCGAATGTGTTTGTAACAAAGACGCATGTGTATGTGAACATGTGCAAATGCCGAGCTGTCCGTCATTTTGTGACAGTGGAGCTCTTATTGTGACAAGGACCTTTTTTGAATGATATTGGAGCAGATTTCCATGCAGAAAAACAAGTGTTTGATTGGCAGTGGACACACACACAGCGATGACCTCGTGTGGACAGCAGCAGCCGACATCAAATATTTGGGAGGAAAACAGGCGTCTTTCTCACAGTGGGGCTCATTAGATTCCTTGCTCGGCCCCACACCTCCTCTCTCTCACACTCACTTCTGTTGTGCTGAAACCTTTATATACTCAAATTTCTCTATTTTTCTACACTGTCTTTTCCTCGCCTCTTAACTCTCTCCTTCTTCTGGCCTGGTCACACCAGAACGTTAAAAAGCCAAATGTATCTGTGCACCTCTGTTTAATATTTGGATCTAGAAGCTTGCCGACGTGGTGGCTAGCCCAGGCCTGGTTGGTGAACTCCTTTAGCTGGAGATTTAACTGCTAACTTAGTCACAATGGCTTTCAGAGATTGTCTTGATGTTACTGTTCTGTTTACTCCCTCGGGGCCTTTTTTTTTTTTTTTACAGGGTTCCCACTCTTTTCTAGAGATAATTTTCCAGGACTTTTCCAGGACATTTTCAGTAAAGCTGAACCTACAGACAAAACAGCTGTTGTTTGTTATTATAAAGATGCCAATTATAAAGACAAAGAATATGGGTGAAAGAATGGATTAGCACAAGCAGGCATTGTCTGAGCTACAGAGAGCTGGAGGGGAGTAAAAAGTGTTTTATGGTGAAAAAGTAACTGCCTGCTCTGCCAGCTGCCTGCACTCATTGGCTGGATGTGGATTTTGAGTCGGCTGACTCCTCCAGATATTTGGCTTTCTAGATATCTGGCTGGTGTCTGCGATGTGTCAGTGATGTGTCGGGGAGCCGTTTTAGTGCGTTGTTGATTAGTTCACACATAACGACTGGCAAATCGGGCTTAATATGTGAACTAGAACCAGAGTCGGGGTGTGTTCACAACACTGCCGCAACATGATGGTAAAATAACACAAGATGTTCCAGGACATTTTAGTTTTTCTCAAATTTTCCATATGTTTTCCACAACTGGAAAATTGGTAAACTCTTTTCCAGGTTTTCCAGGACCCGTGGGAACCCTGTTCTAGCCTTGCAAGGCAGCTGGATTCGTAAGATCACACGAGAATACAAGTCCCTACCACTTCTAACCCGTTAGACCTTATATTATTACAAATCAGCGTCCTATCAAAAACGAATGGCATCTCTGGGCGTGGTTTAGGCGTGACGACAGTGAGAAGCGAAGCAACAATGGCTCTCTTAAAGAGGTTAGTGTAGATGCTGCTATAGCATCAGTTACATCAGAACTGTAGAGTACTGATTCACTTAAAAGATGTTTTCACTCTGGCACATTTATGGCATCAAATAGCTAATTAAAAAGCTAAACTTGCAGTTTCTGAGCGGTTTCTTTGTCCTCCTCCCTCCTATCCAACCTTTCCTTTTATTCCTCTACTCTCCAGGCCACCCTTCTCTCCTTTCTTTCTCTTTCTTCTCTCCTTTTCACAACTTCCCCTAAATCTTTTATCTTCCTTTATTTTCCTCCAAACCCTAATGCCTGTTTTGTCCACTTGTCTCTTTTTCATTCCTCTTCTCCTCGGCTCTCATGACCTTGTCCTCTTCTTTCTTCCTCTCTCTTCCTTTTCCTCCCTTCTTGCTTCTCTCTTGTACCCTTAAACTCCTCTTTCCTCAGACCTTGTGTCTCCACCTATCCTGCCTCATCTCCTTGCTTTCTCCTTTCCTTTCCTGTCCTGGCTTCTCCTCTTCTTTTTTAATGAACTGAAGAAATGCCGACACACACATGGACATGGTAAACACACACACACACACACACACACACACAGATGCATGTTCAGAGCCCAGAGGCAGGTCTGTCTGGGTCCGGCCTGCTCTCTGTTTACCGGCACCAAGGAGACTTTAGGAGACAAACACCATCTGTGGAGACATGGAGGACCTTCATTACGACACCGGAGAGTATGTGTGTGTGTGTGCGAGGAAAAGCTTAAGTGCACCGGTCCGTCACAGCCTCTGAGCACGATACGTCGTGACATTCGCCGAGCCTCTGAGAGTGTGTGTGTGTTTGTAAATGTGAGTGTGTGTGTAGATGTGTATAAGGGGAGTAGCTCCAGCGGTTTTTTGCCTGCGGCAGCCTCCCTAATGATCAGTCTGACCATATGGTGTTGCCCTCACACACACACACACACACACACACACACACTCTAGGGGATAGGGCTGATTTAATTCGAAGCCTAGCAGGAAGCCTAAAATTGAGATTAAGGTCAGATCTCTGCTCCTCGTGAGGTGGACTGGAGGGGAAAGTCGTCCCTGAGCAACGACTGCAGGTCGACACTCTGAAGGACTAAACTCATCACTGGAGGAAGTTTCATTTCAATTCAAAACCGCATTAGAAAATATCCCATGTTGTGGCCTCAGATGGCTGCAAGTGATACTGCAGCTTTTTGAAATTCAGCTGACTGTATCACCCAGAAATCCTGTGTGGCGATGTCATTAAAGTACAGCGTGAATCTTTATTCCAAAGCAACAAGAAAAATAAAGCACATTGGGTTTTAGGCGGGAGATTTTGGGATAAATTGTCCCATATAATTATAAATATGTGCCCTAAAATGAATTACGAATTACAAATTTTTTACCTTGGAATTCTTCCTTCGGAGTTCTACACAAGACAACTGAATGCTTTTTCTATCCTTCTACTGCAAGGCTTAATTATCATGGCACAGCACGGCTAAGATGGAGTGGAGGAGCCCGAGAGCTATGTTATCAATGCACAGTATTTTTAACCCTCACACGACCAACTCTGCAATCATACGACGAACATGGGAATCTTTCCCATCTCTGCTTCCCATCCCACATGACGTGAACGTGGCTACTGCGACACTGTGGACTATAATCACAGGTCGTGGTCTTTACGTAACCTGCATGATGTGCAAAGGTGACTGAGACAGACCTCCAGGATCACTACTGTTAACTACCACAATGTCTAAAGCAGGGGTGTCAAACTCATTTTCACCAAGTGCCACATGAGCATTACGGTTACCCTCAAAGGGCCAGTTGCAACTGTAAGACAAACTTAAGTACTCCTTAACATATTGTTAAATAACTGTCTCTTTATTTGATTATGTATTCAAGTTAAGGACATTCATCAGATGTAAAAATATAGCCTTAGTAAGAAGTGTTATTAGAACATAAATAAATGAATTTATCAGATTATCAGATCATTACTCCATCAATCAAATATCAAACATTTCAAGTAAATAACAAAGACAATAAAGACAAATATCATCAAACATAAGCTTTTACAGTAACTTTTCACTTTTTCACAGTCCAGAGGTACACAAATAATTTTGAGCTGCTAATAACATGAGGGACAGATGTGATAAAACAAATAGTCCAGCTGCACACAGCCTTGCAGAGGGCATACATCCAACTAATGAGAGATAGTTTGATTATCTGGAAAAACGCACACTACAGGATTAGCCCGATTTGCCGCTTGGCGACCGTCAGGCTGTGATCGAGAGTAAATGAGCGGCCGATCGGTGGTCACCAGTCGTTATGTGTGAACTACACAAAGACGCATCAAAACGGCTCCCTGACACACTTCTGACACATCGCTGACATCTGCCAGATATCTAGCATGCCAAATATCTGGAGGAGTCGGACGACTCTACGTCCACATCCAGCCAATGAGAGCAGGCAGCTGGCAGAGCAGGCAGCTACTTTTCACAGCAAAACACATTTTACTCCCCTCCAGCTCTCTGTAGCTCAGACAATCCCTGCTACCTTCGTGTGCTAATCCATTCTTTCACCCAGATTCTTTGTCTTTATAATTGCCATCTTTATAATAACAAACAACAGCTGTTTCATGTGCGTTTTCATGACAAAACGTGGTTTGGAGACCAGCGCCGGGTGACACGGCTTCTGTCAGCTCGTGTAGTGTGTGACCCCCTGTCACCGATCAGTCACGTAGTGTGAACGCCACAACAGCTTCAAGACTCCC